TAGTGTTTATTCTTTGATATTGTTTCGATCCTGTCGTTTCTTATACAATAATGGGATTCTCTTCAGTGTTACAAAAAAAAAAAAAAATATATATATATATATATATATATATATATATATAATATATGAAGAATATATATACATATATATATATATATATATATGAAGAAGGATGAGTTAACCGGAGAGTTCAGACGGTTACACAACGCCGAATTGCGTGAGCTGTATCCGGGTAATTTCATCGCGGCGAATCAAATGGGCTTGTAAAGTTGTTGGGCTTAGTAACGAGAGAATTCCTAAAAGGTTAATATGTGCGGTGCCGAATGGTAAGCGTCCGAGGGGTAGACCGAAGCGAAGGTGGGAAGATTGCATTAAAGCCGATCTAAAGGGACTGGGTTTGGACGGCGAACGGTGAAGGGAGGTATGTAATAAGCGATTGGTGGTGTCGGCATCGAACCTTCGGGTTCGCTAAGCCTTTTATTATTATTATTATTATATATATATATATATATATATATATATATATATATATATATATATATATATATATATATATATATATATATATATAGGTAGGGAAAGATTCTTTCTTAAGATGAAATGTGACTAGAAGCCCATAATAGTGTTAATTGATATGCATTAAAAAACACTTCCATGTTACTCATTATTACCATGTAGTAGAACTGCTGACAGATACTTTGCAAAAAGCAGGATGGCTATGAGCCTTCTTCTTGTATGTCCTCTCCTTTCTTGCTTCTGGGCAGGATGTTCTAGAACACTTTGGTTTGAAAACTTTGGTCTTAACAGGAAAACATTCTCTTGTTATCTTGAAAGTTTTGAAAACTATTACACTATGAAAGGTGTTACTGATAAAACTCAGATAGTACAACTTTTATATGTTAACATTGGTTCAGGTCACTACAATAAATTAGCAGCATTATTGGACTTAATTGAGGCATTAAAAAAATGCTTATTTCAAAATAGTGTTTTAGTGACCCAGCATTATTTTCTAAATGTTTTTCAAATAGAACAACAAACTATTTCAGAGTTTGTTGCCACCCTTCAACAAGATTTAGCTGAATGTGAGTCTTCAGTAACCTGTTCATCAGATAAATGCAAACAAGTTGTTTCAATTGCTTATGTCTTACTGAGAGCCCAATTTATTCGTGGCTTACGAGAAAATTGGCTTAGAGAACAAATTTTACAATAAAATATAACATCATTTGATTAAATTTCAGTAAAAGCCTCCCAAGGCTTCAAAAATTGAAATTATAGAACTCGCACAGCCACGGGCGGATCTACGGGGGGGCTTTCGGGCTGAAGCCCCCCCCCCAAAATGGTAAAATCTCTTAAAGTATTATTGTTCGTGTGATTAATATTAAAAGGACTTTAGGAATCACTTAAACACCATTTCATATAGGTAGTTAGTTTCTTTCTTTTTTAAAAAAAATTAATTATCATTATTTTTATGAAAAAAAGAAGCTTTCGGGCTGAAGCCCCCCCCCCCAAAATTAAATCCTGGATCCGCTAGTGCACACAGCTACCAAGTTCTAGCCATCACAATTTTAATCCATGTGACAAATAAAATTGACGGTTCCTTACAAAATAATTCTAGGAATAAATTCCGAAATAGTTCCAGACATCATTCAAATCAGAACAGAAATTATCGCCCTGATTACCTAACTTTAGATATAGATAACTTCTGTATTAGATGCAGGCAAAATAATGAAAAAATTAAAGATTGCCTAGTGGCAACATTGAGTACCAACATGAAACGTAAATCTTGTTCTAAAGTATGTATTACCACAAAAATATGAGAATCTATTAGATCTATTATGAGAATTATAACCAGTTCCAGTTCCACAAATACTCTTCAATCCATGTCCATGTCTTCAGTTCCGCCTACTCATGGCCTCCAATAAGCTCCAAACCATTGTTGAATTATTTGAAATGATTGATAGTGACAAATACCTTGTTGATGTTCAACTCAATAGGAGATATCAGCAGTTCAAAGTTGATTCTGATCCAAATATTCTCTCTTGTCTGAGCCTGATTTCAAATAGCTTGATTTGAATATTCTTGAAAATTCAAATATTGCCTTTCAATCACATTTGAGTAATATCATTCAGACTAGAGGTAAAATTTCAGTTTCTGTGTCTTATCATGGGAAAGAGTTTATAGATGAATTACAAATTGTTCCAGCTGGATACGCTTTACTAGGGCATTAATGGATTCGAGGCCTAAGCATCGAACTTTTAGAACTTGACTCACAGCAATCTCCTAACAAGGTTGCTGCAATCTAAGAGATGCCATAGCCACCAATTGTTGTTGACATCAATAGCACAAACTGTCATGCTTCACTTTCCTGCTAGTAATGAGTATTGCCTCATGTGTGTATCCTTAAAAACTAATTTTATTGAATGAATTATCCAATCTACAACCTTCAGACACTAAAAATGCACCATTCTTTTTAAAAAATACAATGATGCACTGGTATATAATGCAGCATTATGGTATATTTCACTTATATATGATATATTGCAAAGAACTTGGTGGTTACATCATCCAATAATTAATGAATGTATACAAATAGCCAGTAAATTATTAAATGAGTTGAAAATAAATTATCAAGGTACAATTATATAATATGGTCACAATACTCAAATCATAAAATACTTAAAGTTATATTTCCTCATAAGCATTATTTTCTAATTAATAAAATATCAGAAGAGGCCCTTTTTCATGCACATATCATTTTACCATTATCATTGTGAAATTAGTCTAATAAATAGTCAGTTCATTGCAAAAAGTCCTTAATTAACATTTTAGAAAACTATATCACTAGGAAATTTGATGAATTTTCAAGAAAATATAAAAAAATAAAAATTTTATTGTCTTAAAACTTTATCTTGTCTCCATATTTCGATTTTTTTATACATTGTATTATTTATTTTATTGGTAAGGATGTTCTTATTGAATACTTTTGTTTTTTTAATTTAACATATTAGGATATATGTAATAAAAGAAGGATTATATCTTAAAAATAAAAGTTTAAATAACAAATCATTTACATTTACATTATGGATTGTATGATGCGTTGATCATGGATTGTATGACCATTAGTTATTAAACTGTTATTTTCCATTACAAAGTTTACTAAAATGGAATTACGAGATTTGCATTGTCAGTCATAGACAGATCAAAAGTCGTCATACTAATTGTAAGTGGATTTACGTTAAATAATGTTAGTTTTTAGAAATTATTATTTATATTTTTTTCACCTCTCTTGGTTATCTTCTACAACTTTCTATAGTAGATTTATTATTTTTTAAATTCTCCACTTTTCAACGATATTTTATACGTATACCTTCTGACTATTATTTCTGGATATTCATTTTCGACCTGGATAAGCATTTTTCTTTTTTTTCTCCTTTATTCAATTATCAAATTCTTTCAAAAGTTATATTTACCATTGTTTCATAACTCCTAACAATGAGAAATAGTTAATTATTCATAATAAACCAAATTAAAGGTACTTTAGAGAAAGACATGCTGAACTTTTAAGTGTTTAAGCCCTGTAAAGTGACATCAATTGCGATAAGATCTCAATGATATTAAAGACCACTTAATTATACAATGATACACCAGTTTAATCAAAATTGTTAGCTGTTTTTGAGAAAATTGTGTATCACCATTCATATAAAGTGCCACTTCCGGCAAATCGATTTCCAGGAAACAGTTGCTGTAACATCTCATGCATATACCTATCTTAAATACGTGGTATCAGTTTCTAACGACTTTTTGTTTTTGAGCTAGATTGTTAAAATACACATACACACAGACCATTTTGTGGGACTTGGTTATTTCAACTCAGAGGACCTCAAAACGTGTATTTCTGTTAAAATCAGAGATTCACAAATTTTCAAGATTGCAATACTTTCCCCTACTATATATTACATATATAGGTAAGTGAAAGTAATATGGACACAATTCAACAAAAACATGAATTATAAAAAAATGAACCAACAGGTGAGATGATAATAAATCTTGAACCACTGTCACACTTATTTAATAACTTCTACTAGATTCAGAGAGATGAAAATTTTTACAAAATGGGTCCAACAATTTTGATGAAATGCCTAAAATTCCCTTAAAGCCCTAGAACCACCGAACTAAACACTACACTCCTCAGAAAAAAAAGGTAAAACATTATGAGAAAAAAAATTAAGTATACATTGTGCGTGTATACATAAATTTGAAAGGAAAAAAGAATTCATCGAAACCATTAGCAAAGATACTACCTATTATATTTTGTAAACATTTTGGTTTATTATTTTTAAAGATTCACTATTGAAACCTTTGTTTATTATTTAAAGAACCTATATAGAACGCAATAATCAAATTAACAAAAAATTCTATATCCAGTATCTGTCTACAGTGGCTTTTCTCCGGGGCTAGAAGGCTAATATTTTATAATTTAACACCAAAAGTCATCCTAGAATGAACCTTAGAACTAACCAAATGTGTTTTTCTATAGATTGCAGCCCCAAAATGATTATAGCAATTCAGTACATACCTGAGAAAAAGCAAGAAAAATGTTTGGAATGCCTAACCACACGACCTTTCCTAGAGCTTGGAATGTCTATTCAAAGTCCAATACAATAATGTTTTTCTATATATTTACTAATATTGGCCTGATAAAGATTTTAACACGATATACCTCAGATTTGTGGTTATATATGTTTAAGATAATATTTTTTCAGTACAAATCTTTTTACTAGTCAAGAAAAAGAACTGCAATCAACCAATCAAGAAATTTGAAGATGATAAAATATATATTTTTAAAAAAGAGTTTTAAAGATACTTTTTATAAACTATGTATTTAGTATGATCTATTATCCATAGCTGAGATCCTTCAATATGAAAGATATAAATATTATTCATGACAACTACTTTAAAATCAATAATTATAAATGAAGATATGAAAAAAAAAGCTTGAACAATCAGGAACCATTATGATTTTATTGGTGAATTACAAATAAGAATGACTAGTATTATTTACAATAACAAACAATTCATTTCAAATTAAATGTTACAAAATAATTTACAATTTCATTAGAAGCAAAGATCTAAAGAACAATATGGAATATTAATAATTAATACACATACATTAGCATAAGGATGAATTTCTTTATACATGAAAATTTGCACATATATATGTGAATATATACAAACATCTATTACATATGAGTTGATTTAAATAATATTAAATTAAGTTTTTAAACAATATTGATGTTTTGTAAATAATCTTATATATGGTACATGTATCAATTTCCAAATCTTTAAACCTATGATCACTGAAATATCATTAATTGTGTCATTAAACAACGACCTTACAACAAAATCATAAACATTGATATTAAATGTATCATATATCATCAGCAAGGTTTATTGAGAAGTTTATAAGTTATAGCAAACATTTTTACCAAGCAAACAATTTTTCTTCCAAAAAAACATTATGATTCAGTAATATAGAATTAATAAATTTCCCTTACATCTGTATTAAAAATAAATAATGAGTGATCATTTTATTATATTATTACCAGTTTTTTTTAATTATTTTAAAAATAATTTTTATATTTTAAATATCATTATAAAAATAATAAAAATATTTTTTGGATAAATATCTTTTATGATAAGATAACAATTATTCAACAATGAAATTATGCCCCCCCCCTCCCTTAAATTTCATGAAAATATACAGCTTTGGCAATAAATGGTATGTAAGAAACAAAATTGATAATTTCAAAGTAATAAATGATTCCATTGAGATGCCCCTATTGATAAAAATTGATGAATTAGCAATAGTTTCTATTACTTCTTATGAACAAAGTCCACACCCTTCTGTATGTTTTTCTTAAGTTCAGGGATAGCAGATTTAAGAAGGTCTTGTTCATAACTAGAAAGACCAGATGGCAATCCAAGATTTTTCTGAATTCCATTTGGCTGTGGATACAAAATAAATAAATTAGCATAAGAAAAATCTTAATGAATTAATTAGGGAATTTTATTTTTATCATCCTCATAAAGTTATTATAAAGAAATTTAAAAAAAAAATAAAAATATAAAATAATATATATATATATATATATATATATATATATATATATATATATATAAAATGCATAACTTCATTAGATATAAGGTCATAATACTTATCATGCATTCCTAGACTTAAAAGCAGTGTTTGATTAGATTTTTATCAGAACAAATCAGATGTACTGTTTGACTAAAGAATTACAACCAATTTTATAAACTAAAATTAGACTTAATACCACTCCAGAAAATGAAATAATCTGAATAAATTGATTGGTTAGAGTCTCTAATAACCCTGGAAGGCAACAGCAGAAAATGGTATAAAGAACTGAATGAAGTTTCTTCATAGGAAAATTTCCTATGATTAAACCGATTAATGGCTAGTCATTTGCAGAAGAGCTGAGTTTCCTCTGCTATAGAGAGGAATTGGAAACAGAGAATAATTGCCACCACCAAGGAATAATTATTAGCAATGATGAAAACTTTTATTGCAAAATACTGAATTATGATTTGCTGAATATTATGATGATGAATTGCAAAATGAGAAAGGCCAATAGTAAGTGTCTATGAAGATTTCTGAGATGAGTGCCCAGTAAAAACAGACAGCAACGAATGTGGAGATAAGGAATTAAGGAAATCCAAAGAGTTAGCTAATAATTATAATCCAAGGAAGGAGTTAAAACCATAATCAAGAAAAATTAACAAAAGTTGTCCGTGTTTATATTATTGTAATGATAATCAAAGAAGAAGAGAGATATCAGTAACATAATGTTCTTAACAGAATATTACATTTTATATTTTACATAAAAACACTTATTACAAGATAAAACTTGGTCCTACTATAGGAAAAAAGAAAGCTATCAGAATCTTCTACTAATAATGTAACTTCTAAAAGTAAATTAATAATGTTACACTGCTCTTCAAGTGCTGATGGAGAAACAAAACTTACCACCCTATTTTATTCAAAAGAGAATATTGTTAATTAATAACTACAAAGGGGGTATGATTTAATAAAACTACATTTTTTTTTCAAATATTATAAATCATATTTTTTCAGGTGATAAAACAGCCTTTCTTATTTTGAATAAAAGTTGAAAAAAATATATATATATACATCAACATTTAATTTTTCTCAATTTCTATTTTTTTTTTTTTAATAACTGATAATTAGTGGGGAAAAATTATATCATCACTAGTTATTGAAGGCTGAACTGTAGAAAATTGGGGAGACAGGAGCAAAGAGGCAGAGTAGAGGAGTGGGGACCATCTTTGCTTACTGGTCTAGATATACGTTTAATTATAAAATTCACCAATGAATAAGCAAATTTGTTATATAGTGGAGCTAAGTAACACTGCCTTAAAAGTAAAAAACACCTTAATGTTTTAAAACATAATTACCAAGTAAAAAACAAAACATACTAACCCCAAGAATTACTGGTGTTGAAAAGTATGGTACTTCGGTAACATTTGATTCTACATAAGCACATTCAATGACATTCGACTCTCCTTTGAGACCTCTACAAAGAGATATTGCAAAACGTGCTCCAGCATAAGCCATTGATAGTGTAGCTGAACCGGCTCCAGCTTTTGCTTTAACAACTTCTGTTCCAGCATCCTAAAATATTAATTCTTCATACATTTTTGAGTTAAAGGTCTTACTAAAAATCTATACTCACCTATCAAATTAGCATCACTTGACTAAAAATAGTAATGCCTTTTGATAATTGGCAAACTTCAGTGTATATTGGCATGGTTAAATTCTTTTTATAGGGTTGACAACTATATAATTGCCGATTTTAAGAGTAGGTGACTTAAATAAACATGTTATCTTTGTATGCTTAAAGAAAATTTGATCCCCTTATTGTTATTTGACCTTTAATATCTCCTTTATAATTATATGTAAATATTTCGATGTTCAAATACTTAGTTTAGAATTCAAATTCTGTTTGAAATGGAAGCTCTAAGTGCACATTTTCAACATATTCTTTTTTATTTTCGTAAAAGAAAAATGTTCCATAATCACAAAAAAATGTATGTGCTGTGCATGGTGACGAAAACTGAGAAGAAAGGAAGTGCCAAAATTCATTAGCAAAATTTTGTGCAGATTTTTTTCTGAAATGAAACTGAAGATGAACATATCAAAGAGGTTATCAATAAAATCCATCATAGCTTTACTCGCAAGATCGCAGAGAAGCTCGCTGTAGAACATAAGTGCATTGAAAAATGAAAATTAACATTATTAAAGTCATCTACTTGTAAAATCCGTAATGATTTAATTGCCAGCCCTATATATCAGGTTTGTAATTTCAGGTAAGGTACACAAGGTCTACAAGAGTATGTCAGTCAAATTCCCTGATCTACTCCCTCAGTAAAAAAATATAAAAAATATTTGTTTCTAACGTCTGCATTGATTATTACAATATTCAGAGAGTTGAGAGTGAAAAAGAATATAAGTAGATCTAAAACCTAGAGTATATTAGATGATTAGTGAGAAGATTCGGGGATGTACCTAGTTCACTGGGCTAATTGTAAAAAAAAAAAAGAGCCTACTCAGTAGGTCAAACTTTTTTACCATTTCTATTAAGTAAATACAAACAAACAAATTTTGAGCCAAATCAGGCAAACCATTTTAGTATATATATATATATATATATATATATATATATATATATATATATATATACAGACAGACAGACAGACATACAGACTCTCTCTCACTCTCTCTCTCTCTCTCTCTCTCTCTCTCTCTCTCTCTCTCTCTCTCTCTCTCTCTCTCTCTCTCTCTCTCTCTCTCTCTCTCTCTCTCACTCTCTCTCTCTCTCTCTCTCTCTCATAAATCATAAATCAGAGAGAGGGAGAGGGAGAGGGAGAGGGAGAGGGTGAGGGAGAGGGAGAGGGAGAGGGAGAGGGAGAGAGGGAGAGAGAGAGAGAGGGAGAGGGAGAGGGAGAGAGAGAGAGAGAGAGAGAGAGAGAGAGAGAGAGAGAGAGAGAGAAAGAGAGAGAGAAGCAGACTATGATGAAAAATAAAAAAATAATTCAGAAAAAATGTCTTTTATTTTTGTTAGGTCAGAAACTTTTAAGACAACCCTCGTATATATAATATATGTCCTCTAAGTAGAGGTACATTTTTATAGGAGGGATAGCAGACCTCAAGAGCTGCAAAAAAAGTTTGTATAAGCAATGGGCCAATTTTTAGAAGAAAAGTAGCAAATCCAAGTTTTGTGGTTTTTTAAGTGTCGTGTTTTTTGTTGAATTTAAAACAATAACTAAAGAAATATTTAATTTAGGTAATTAATAATTGCTTCATTCTGAACAAGATGAAATTTACTTTAAATGAACATAGTTTATCATCGATAAAAAAACCATTCACAGAGGACTTTTTAGCGACTACACAAAGCTTAGTTCGGGTTTAAGAAAAATCATAAACAATACCCAATTTTTTTATATCATCCAACTACACTACACTTTTACAAAAACTTCGATTGATAAGCTTTAAATCACTATTAATTAAGTTGAGGTTTATCAGGGGAAAAAATGAGATTGAACTCAAGTTGTGTAACAAAATAATTATATTTTTTGTCCTGTCAAGTAAAAATATCTGTTTTCAGAAAAAATGACTACAATTAACTGTTGCAAAGCTTTAATTTCTTGTTTTTCCATGATCTGGGATGTATTTTAATAAACCCAATTGCCTAAACACACATTTTATTTATAGAAAAATACATGAAAAATCAATATTTTTCAAATTAATTTGTTATAAATATTCTACTTACGGGACACCCTGTATGTGTGTGTATGTATATATATATATATATATATATATATATATATATATATTATTACCCCTATTTGTATTATTGTTTTAACAATCTTAAACTGTATTTTCTTTTAAAGTAAATTATATCTAGTGTAAAATGAAACAATAATTAATTACTTAAATTAAATATTTCTTTAGTTATTGCTTTCAAATCAATAAAAAACATGACTCATTTAAAAAAAACAAAAAAACTTGGATTCGCTAATTTTCTAGGAAATGTTGATAATAGACATCAAGATCTACAAAAAAGTTCACATAAGCAATGGGCCAATTTTCAGCAGAAAAGTAGCAAATCCGAGTTTTGTGGTTATTTTTAGTAATTCATGTTTTTTATTGAATCAAAAGCGATAACTAAAGAAATATTTGATTTAAGTAACTAAAAGTATATATATATATATGAATGTATATCATAGATATAGATATATTCTAAAATGGCTAATTAGTTTTTGCATCTGGAACTGATAAAATTGACCTCATTTGTCCATCAATCCCTAGGTTTCTTTAGGCCAAATCTAACGAACCAGTTTGGAAGTGAAGATATACCAAGGAAAAAACAAATAATTAAGCATAAGTGACAGGTAGAATTTCATAATATTGATACAGCACCAACTTTTCACTAATCTCTAACTTTCGTCCAGCTTTGAATCAAATCGAACAAGTTCTTTTTTATATATAAGCGTGTGCAAGAAAATATATTTGCACAATCTTAAGCAAAAGTATTGGATAAGATGTTATAAACGATTTGATTTTGACATGAGAACACCAATGTAATATCTTGCCCTACCTCTGAAAATTTCAATGAAATAGCATTAAAAATAGTAAATGTTATGTCCGTCACATGGATTTCATACAGAAACGGTACCAAATTTTTTCCTTGATGTGATGTCTAAAATATAAAACATGAAGTGAAATTTTTTATTCTGACCACAAATAATCTGCAAAATCTTTCTTTCTACCTTTAGTATTTATGGAAAATACTAAATTTTTATTTATTGTAGTAACTGTTCTAAATTTTATTATTTCCTCTTTATTTATCTAAATTTTTTCATTCCTCTTAGCTGTACATTTTTGGAAAATTATTTGAGTTTCCGATGAATACTTCATCATTTTAATTTATTTTAGCATATTAGGTTAAGATATACTAAAGTAATTGGTCTTTTATATTATCTAAGAAAGAATTAAGTAAAGTACAGAGAATTACTTAAATATTATAGAGTATTTTTTATTATTTAAAAAATTAGATGCATTCGAGATGAAAAACCTAAGCGAATACTAATGTTATCAAATTATGTGTTTATAAATCAATCTGTTAAAAAAAATCATAATTATTCTTGATCAATCATTAAAAAATATCAAATCAAACAAGTGAAATGAAAGAAGTGAATGAAAAATTGAAAATAACAGACAGAAGCATTTTGAAATAATAGATAACTGTAAACCAAATGAAATAATTAAAAGATCTTTGGACAATTAGAAATTAATTCAACTTAGCTCTATGAATATTAAGTAAACTGTTTATTAAAAAACTATAAAATATTAATGAGAAAGTACTAAAACTAGAAAAAGGTGTCAGAAGACTTGACTGTTTCAGGCGATAGAAGATCTGTATTGAGCATTGAAGGAATAGAGGAGGGGTGTATATTAAAGGTAATAATAAGTAAATATGAATGAAATCAAAATAAATGTTCTACAGAATCAGTCTTGTTATTAAATAGCCACATCTCTATTTAATGGCTTACCTGAATTCTAGTAGTTAATGCTGATAGTTCATCACTTTTAAATTCCACTTTAGGTTTTACTTGTGACAAAAGAGGAATGATAGTTACACCAGAATGGCCTCCTATAACTGTAACACTTACAGATTGAGGGTCAAGTCCCTGTACAAATAGATGAAAACAAACAATACATTAAATTAATAATATAAAAATCACATTGTTTTTTATAAGTGTAAATTTATTTAAAACAATATCCTTAACATGGTAGGAATAAAAAAAAATCATACAAGCACTCCTCACTTTATGACAGTTCCGTTCTGATGACTATGAAGTTAAATAAATTGAAATATAGGATCACTCTAAAATTATAAAAATCAGGTGACTGATTTTATATGATTTTTTTTTTATTTTATCATTTAGTTATCTCTCACTGTAGTGATATTTCATTCTATGTAATGAAGATATTGGTGTTGAAATAGAAGTTGTCACAAGGGCAATGGTGCTTTATATAACAGTTGAAAAGAAATTCATAAGAGGGTTTCCTATTTTTCCTAGTTAATTTTTTTTCATGATAAATTTCTCTAAAGCATTAAGAAAATTCACTCATTACAGGTTAAACTTTATTAAAATGTTCAATATTTGAATCCATAGATCTAAGTTTCTAAATGTAACAAAGACAAAAATGTAGGCTTTTTATTTTCATAACTTATTTATGAAATTTATAATTAGAAGAACTTGACAAGAAATTTTTTTAACAATAATTATATAAAAAATAATACTAAATAGATGATATGATAATGATAACAATATTTAGACTTGAAAATGGGCAAAATTTCCTGAAACGTCATGGAGAAAATTAAAATGAATTGAAGCATGGAGTGGAGGTGTAATGGTGAAATAAAGCGATTTTCCTCGAAATTATAAATTTTATTAATTATCAATGCCCTTGAAAATTTAGAAGATTTCATAAAAAACTATAATAAATTCAATATAAAACAAAGGATATACTGACAAATAAATATTATAACATGAAATGTTCAATAGCAATAAAAAATATTGAATTATCTGTTTTAAAGAAGTAAAAATTCCAGAGAAACCTGATTAAATACACCAATTATTATTTACCTTAGCATTTGCAACAAATGTATTGGCTCTAACAACATCTAATGTAGTAACTCCAAATAAACGTTTTGGGTCAAATACTCCATTTTTTTTTAAAACCTCAGCAGCAATTGGGACTGTGCTGTTAACCTGATAAATATAACATATAAAATTAATTAACATGAAATAATAAATTTCTACTAATTAGTATTAGATAACAGGCATATTTCAGGTATAAAGTTGTTTATGTATTGTTAACACATTAAAGGCGGGAGTCATAGTACTACGATTTATCTGGACTAGCATACTTTCATCAAGATCGCCCGCCTTTTTTTAAATTTATTTATTACCAGATCGGCCTGGTGGGCCTTACATGGTTGTTGTAACAATTTGATGATTTTTAACAATTTGTTCTGGTGGGGTATAGTCTTTGCAAAAGACACCCCTAACTATTTATACATTATAATTATTGAATAATTACAATTAATAAAGAGAAAATTATTAATTGTTCATAACATGATGTCTTGGATCAGTCTGGGCTTCAGTCTTCGAGATGAGGTTGGGTTTCCTAAGTTGTAGGCCACTGCACCTTTAACTGCTGGTAGCTGCGTATGGAATTTTTTAAATCGTTTTTTGATGAATTCATCTATTGTTTCCAATTTTAGTTCTCGATGTAGTTGAGCGTTTCTTATGAACCAGGGGGCATCTACTGCAATTCTTAATACCTTGTTTTGAAAGGATTGTAGTTTTTTTCTTTTCATAGCTGAAGCTGCTCCCCAGACTTCACATCCGTACATTAGCAAGGGTCTTAGTATGGTTTTATGAATAAGAACAGTTGTCTCTGGTTTTAAACTAGATTTTCTATTTACTATGGGTCCAGATAAACTCCGAGATATTTTACTGCTTCACTAGCTGGGTTCCATTTTAGTTCTTTATTTTTGAGAATCAGTTCAGGTGGGTCTGAGGGACGTCTAAGAGTAAAAAATTTTTCTGTACATTTTTCGGTGTTGAGACAAATCATCCATTTTTTAAAATATTGTTCTAGATTTACTAGGTAAGACTGCAGTTTATTTCTGGCTATTAATAAATCATTGTGTTGGGAAAAGAGAGCTGTATCATCGGCAAACATAGCTATGGAGGTGTTTGTGGATTGGATAATGTCGTGAACATAAAAGTTAAAAAGTATGGGAGAAAGAACAGAACCTTGTGGGGTGCCGGCATGGATTTGTCTTAAGGTTGAATTTATATTATTTATTCTAACTGTAAATGTTCTGCCGTTGAGGAATGAGCTCAGAACGTCATATAAATATTTGGGCGTGTCCACTTTCTTTAGCTTGTACAATAGACCACAATGCCAAACCTTATCAAACGCTTGTTGAAAGTCTAAAAACGTGACAAGAGTATGTTTTTTCATTTCAAATCCATTTACTATGAATTCTGATAATCTTGCCAGTTGGTGTGAAGTGTAATGACTATACTGAAAACCAAATTGAAAATCAGGAATAATGCTATTACATTGTAAAAAGAATGCAAGATGTCTTTTTATGACTGACTCTAGTAATTTTCCAACTATGGGTAATAAACTTATCGGTCTATAGCTACTGACTTGTTTAGCGTTTTTACCATGCTTATGAATTACTACGAGTTCAGCTTTCTTCCACGTTTCGGGAAAATATCCAGTGCGTAGACAGCTATTAAATATAGACGTAATGTAAACGAGAGCTTTTCTAGGAAAATTTTTTAAAGCAATAACTGGTATAAGGTCATGTCCTGGACTTTTTTTTTACTTTGAGACTCCTAATTAGTTCTTGAATTTCTTTAGGGGTTGTGAATTTAATCGGAAGCTGTACAGTTGTTAGGGGCAATTTTAAATAATCTTCAACATCAACATTTGGTGAATGCGGACTTCTTTCGCATTCTGGGTTTGAGAACGTTTTCTCAAAGTAATCTGCAAATGCTTCAGCTTTTTCTGCGTCACTGATGATGTATCCTCCATTCTCTTCCAGACTAGGAATTTTCTCAAATTTGCTTAGTACACGCCGAGTAGCCTTCCACAGAGATTGGTCCTTTGGGTCTAAATCTTTTACGTAATTTTGGTATTTAGAATACACCCATTCATCCAGTTCTTTTTTAATTACGTGTTTGAGGTGGTTCCATGTCTTTAGTAGGATCTCTGTTGCGCATCCACTGTCTCCTTGCATGGTTCTTTTCTTTGATTTTTAACAGAATTGATTTTGGGCAACTCCTTGAAAAATTTTTCCTCACTAACTGGAAAGGTCGTACGGTTGCTTCCTGTAGACTATTCGAGATAGACTCATTTAGTTTATTTATATTTTCTTCGATTTCAAGGGCAGTAGCAAAATTATTTTTCAGATTTATTTTCTCAGCTACTAAGATTTTGTATAATTCCCAGTCAATCTTTCCATTAATGAGTGATTTTCGCTTCGGCACTACATTTAGCTCAGTTGAAAAATTAATTAATACAGGGATGTGGTCCGAATTTAAGGCTGTGATAACGTGAAATGAGAGAGGAAGCCTACAATTTTTGGTGAGTGCAATATCCAAAATATCGGGATTACAGTCTGGTCTATAAAAAGTAGGTTCATTTGGCGTATGGATTTGAATATTGTGTCTAGAACAAATTTCTAGCAAAATATTTCCGCTAGAATTTGATTTACGACAGCCCCAGTAGATGTTTTTACTGTTCATGTCACCTAGAACTAAAGAATGGTCTCCTGATGGCAAGAGTTTTAAAATTTCATCTTGGAGTAGTTTTTTGTTTGGAGGTTTATAAACTGCCGTAACGACTGTAGAGGGAAATGAATGTAAACGAACTGATATGACTTCGATATTTAAAATATTATCAATAATGTTTTCAGTGAAGCTAATATTATTCTTAATTATTAAGGCTACACCGCCGGAAGCAGTCGAACATTCTCGATCCTTTCGTAAGATTTTGTAACCTGGGATTCTAAATGTGATGTTTTGAGATAGATGTGTCTCGGTTATGCAGGCTATGTCGATGAAATTTGATTCAAGAAAAATTTTAAATTCATTTCTTTGAGATGATATGCCATGCGCATTCCAGTTTAAAATTTTTAATTTTTTTAGTTCTGCAGTCATATATAAAAAATTAATATTTGGAAATAAATGAAATAATACGTGATCTGGAATAATGCGCAGTTAGTCTCGAACGAGTTAGTAACAGATAAGATAGTGTTTACTTTAGGGTCCATTAGTAAATAAAGAAGCTACGAGCGAAGATAGGTGTGTCATAATTTGTGGTAAATACGGTTTGATAGCATCGATAATAATTTTAGTTATTGTTGACAGTAAATTATCGCCGTTTATTTCAATGTTTTGATTAACTGTGGGCTGAGGTTTTCGTTCCGATTGTTTTGTTATCGGTCTAATGGTGTCTGCGAATGACTGTTTTGAAGTAATTCTGGAGGCAGGTCTAGAAGAAATATTCTCAGTTTTTTGACTAGTTGGCTCTAGAGGTGAATTTACTCTATTTTTTATATTTTGATAATAGACGCAACCCTTGTAGGTAGCTGCATGGGCCAATTTACAGTTTACACAAAATGGCTTATTTGTGAATTTTAACGGGCATTTAGAGAAGTGGTGTTTTTCTTTGCATTTAACGCACCGGGGCTCTAAATGACAATAATTTTTTGTGTGGCCGTCTCTCTGACAGTTGGTACACATGGGGATATCATTTTTCTTGTGTTTAGGTTCGACTGTAATTAAAGCAGAAAATAAATTGTTAAGATTGAAAATGTCATTAGCCGTTTCATTGTTTATAATAGACACTGAGCAGAGAGGAGTAGGTTTCTTATCTTTATTCAATATTCTGGAAACGTAAACAACTTCGAACTGTTTGGAATTTAACTCGGCCTTTAATTCATCTTCGGTTATGCTATAAGGGACCTTCCTTATGACAATGTTTAAATATTTATTTTTATCTGAGGAAAATGTGTGATATTCAATTTTTTCTTCATCGTAATATTTAGTCATAGTTCTGTAGTCTTCAATGGTTGATAGCATTATTTTTGTGTTGTTACCGGCCAGTTGCGTATTAAATGGTCCGATACATAATGCATTTAGGTCATTTAATAGAAGTCTGTAATTGTTAGCATTGTGTAAAAATATCGGTGGTATTCTAATATCATTGGATTGAACATTTGGGTTATTTTTATAACTAGTACTTGCTGCTTATCGGATGAAAGGTCAATTTCAGTAAGATGATTAAAGCTATTGCTTACTTTAATTGGAGCGATTTCCTGGTAGTACTTGTCCATTTTTTTAACTGGTGATCGGGATTGAGGTGAATCAATAGCTTCATGAACTCTCTTCTTAGAACAGGATTCGTCCGTATGTTGGTCTACGTTCGTTTTAGTAGTGAGGGAAACACCGGGCGAATCACTTAATTCTTCGCCGGGTTTCATTAATTACATTTAAAAAAAAAAAAAAAAAGACAAAATACATGAAATAAAATAAATAAATGAAATATAAAAACAGTCCGAATAACTCCACAGTACAACCGCACTCTATGAAAGTCAGAGGCCAACTGACCCCGCCTTTAATGTGTTAACATAGAAAAAAAGCACATTAAAATTTCAATTATTCTTGTCAATCAATATTAAATGTGATGTAAGCCACAAAGCAGGTAGGTGGAGAATCTTCAACAATTTGGTTCAACCTCTAGGACTTTTTTTTTTACTATATTACCTCCTACCCACTATTATGATTTTTATAGTAACTTCAGATTAAATCAATATGTAAATCATTTACCAGAATTTTGAGATGTTTAACAGAAAGATGAAATCAGATTTTCTTTTAGAAATTCACTTGGTAGTTATTATTACAATTGCTGTTTTCATAATGTATCAGTGGCCATTTAGATTGATAGATAGAAAATAAACTTTATTCTGGGAAAATTCTAAATTATATAAACTTTTAAATTAAAATAAAACTGTCATTTCTTTAACTATTTTTTTTAATGTATGGGTTCCATATAATAGATAATTGCATATGTTGAATATCATATTACCATTAGGTACTTGTGAACGGTCTGGTCTCTGGTAAACCTCCCTTCTTATCTTATCTTATGTCACCTTCTTATCTTATGTTATGTCACATAACCTGCCTTTTTATCTAGTGTAAGCTGTTGCGTGTGCGTTATTGAAATGGATGTTATTACATTGTGAGAATTGCCGTCTTCAGAAGAAGAGGCTATCAAATATTTTCAAGACAACAGGATAATTGCAAAGGTGAAATATTGTGATGAAGGTCATGAAATGAAGTTCGACGGGAAGACGAAATGGAGATGCTTTTGTAACACTTGTAAGAAAAATGTATCTATAAGGAAAGGGACATGGTTGGAGGGGCGAAGATTACCTTTTCAACCGCTTTAAAATTAATTTATCGGTCATAATTTGACAACAATATAGTGGGGTCAAGAGCAGCTGAAACTATCAAACAGATGTATCATAATGTGGAACAAATTTTTATTGTTATTATAACATTTGTATATATATATGTTGTATGTGTAAAATGAAAGTGTTTTTTTTTTTATATTTCTTATTATTAAATTACAATATTATAATTATATTTATATTTCTTATTAATATATACATGTTTATGTATATATATATATATATATATATATATATATATATATATATATATGTGTGTGTGTGTTGTAAAATAAAAGTGTTTTGTTATTATTACATTTGCTTTTGTGTTTTTGAATTTCATATGAAGATAGGGATTATCAGTGCCTTATCACAATTATCAGTGTTCACGTTATAAACATTGGCAGATAGCAGTCCATGGCAGTCACCAGACTGTTCATAAGTACCTACCATTCTTTTACTTTTAGGGCTTATCACAATTTATCTCTTTAATTCATGGATAAATTGCTAGATGTTTAGTAGAATTTATGATTAGATTAGAATTCATACACCACTATCAGAATTTTAATAGTTACTCTTTTTATGAATTCTGAAAAATTCTTTATATATGAATGTACTTATATCATTTATTGATAAGTACTAGTATCATGATATTTGAATACTACATAATTAATTAATTCAGCAAATCTAATGAAAAGAAATACCAACAAGCATCATGAACAAATGATAAACTAATATTAATTATTGTGTACCTACTGGATTTGAAATGATTCCTATCAGGGCCTTCGGGCAGTATTTAGCACAAGCATCCACCAAGTCTCTGACTATTGATGCATTTGTGTTAAAAAGGTCATCACGGGTCATTCCAGGTTTCCTTGGTACTCCAGCAGGAATGATAACAACCTCCATGCCAGATAAGGCAGTCTGTGGAAAAAATATAGAGATCTCAAAAAAAGTTAAAAATAGCTGAGTCAAGCATTAATTTTGAGAATTATAAATGGTGATTTTTAAGCCACAAATTTGAGTATTTTGGTGTTTATTAAAAACAGAATAAAACATAAATATAAATTTTAAAAAAAAATCAAGAATAATCTAAATTAAAATATTTATTTACCTTTAATGATTCAGGTCCATTTGATCCACGTGTTACAGACTTTGAATCAATATGACTAAGATCTGCAGCTACTCCAGGTGTATGAACAATATCATAAAGTGAAAGCTCAGTTACTAACGGCGACTGCTTTAAAAGCAATGAGAGAGGCTGTCCTATACCACCACTGGCCCCACATACAGCAACTTTAACATTTTTCTGAAATAATAAAATAAATAACAGGAAAAAAATTATCATAGTCTAATGTGTGCTTTCAGAACATATAACCATATGAATATGGAGTCTATAACAATAACATTTCAAAAAACTATATCGTTCACAAATCAAAAGAATACAATTAGGTGTTTTACATCATATCAGCAAAAAAAAAACTTTTTTTTTTAATTATCATTTATTTACATATAGGAGGACCGGAATGTAATGTCGTTTTCTTATGTTAAATTCAAACACATAAATTTCACACGAGTTTTAATTTTTAATCATAGGTGAAATCAACCTATTTATCAACAACCTTTTGTCATCTAGTGTGCAATATTTAATGCAGGATCGATAAAAATCAATTGTTTTTTAACAAAATATATAGAGATGGCATTTTGAGCATCATTCAAATTTGCAAATCTTTTGCCATTTAGAAAGTGTTGAAACAATCCGAACAAATGGAAACCTGGTGGTGCAATATTGAGAGAGTATGGAGGAGGATGCAGTACCTTCCACCCCAATTCATTAAATTTTTCTAGGGTACGACTTATGCATTATTATCTAACATTTAAGTGTTGCAGAATAACGCCTTTTCCGTTGGCAATCGCCAGCCACTTTTCAATTATGTAAAGATTGATTTAAATGATCTAATTGTCCACAATAAAGGTCTGCACTCACAGTTTGTCCAGGTTTCAGCACTTCAAAATGATCAACGCCGGGAATACTTCACCAAACACACAAAAGAGCCTTTTTGGGGTGTAAACCTGGCTTAGCAATTCTCCGTGGCGATTCTTTTAGAGAGCCACAGTCTTTTGTATTGGATTATAGTATAGAACCCTTTTTTCATCTCTGGTGATCAAGCGATCGAAAAACGCTTCTGTATTGTGCCGTTAAAGCAATAAGTTGTATATGGTGGTATTCCACATATGGTTCTAAAGTGGTTCTCCATATATTATTGCAGTATTCTGCTGCAAATGTTCTTGGATGGCCAACCAAGGTTGGTTAACAGTTTTACAACTCCTCGATTATCTCACAATGATTTCCTTCGACTTCCACCCTTAACATGTTATTGTTTGATGTTGTTGGTCTTACTGATCGATACGAGCAGGAAAGATCAAAATTACTGGATCTGAACTTAAAAAACCACCTTTGGCATTTACGAACCTTTAATGCACTTTAATAAACATCAAAAATATTTTTGGTAGTAACAGTTGCATTACTACCCTTGCGAAACTAAAAAAGCATGCAATGCCGGATATGTGCCTCTCCTGGTATTTGGCTAGCCATTTCACCAAAAATTGCTTTAAAAAAATTTAATTTAATTATCTGCAATTAAAGAAGTCACTATAACCTTAGAATGTCTTTGTCACAACTTTGATGCACACAATGAACTGCCAAATAACAATCAAATAGTGAAATGCTCAGAAATGAATGTCATTTCTGCCTCCTTTTTTCACTTCCTTGTCCCCCTAAATATATACTTACAAAAATCATGTCATAATAATGATTACATGTGTGTGGTTGCAGTAATTAAAACATTTAATAGCTGTTTAAAAAGTACTACTGCCACTACAAATTGAAAATTGTGAATCTTATAAAAACACTGACCAGCTCTGAGACCCCTTCCATGCTAATAATTAAATAACCATTAATTTCAATATATACTCTGAAACATTTCTTTCTATAATTACCTGAAATGTCAGCAATAATGAGTTTACAATAACGATTAACTGATTCAATTACAATAAACAATTTAAAATTACAAGCTCGTTATTTAAGACCACAATCATAGAGCAAAAGTTAAAAGGCATTGCAGATGGTATATTGAGAATATGATCAGTGTCAAAACAACTTGCCTTCAGCTCTAATTTTCAAATATATTATAAGTAATAAAAAGATTTTAAAAGATTTTCAAATAAGAATGATAAGAATTTAACAATTATGCACACATTCCAGGTTTAATATATATTTTTTTTTTTAATCAATCAATATTTTATTATTATCGAAATTTATGGTTTCAATAACTATTTCATGTTAATTGGTTTAACGTTGGTTTATTTTGCAGGCAATATAAGAATTCTGATAAGATTTCAGTACAAGAAACATTGTGTGATAAGAAAAGATTCTTACCAAGGACGTAGTTGAGAAAGATCTGGCATTTTTGCAAATACACATTAAACGTTGAGAAAACATTGCAACTATTATGTTAATAGCAAAGTATTAATTTAAAAAGAAAAGAACAATAAAATAAGGCTAGGCAATGATAAAATAATAGTATCACTGGACCTGTCCAACACCAAATATCTTCTAACCCACCCGGTACCCGTTGAAAAATCAGCTGTTAAGATAAAAAAAAAGGGTGTAATTATAAACTACTATCGATATATCTTTACAGATGAAATTCGTTTTACTTTTCTTTAATTTTCTACGTAGATCCTTAAGTTAAATATCAGTAACACAATAATTAAAAAACGAATAAGTAAGTAGTAAGTAACTAATGTAAAATTTCATACCTATGTAGATATTCCTATAAATGGTTTTGTATCTTTTTTATATCCTGGTGTGAAAAAAAGTCTTCAAACATTTTGTCCCGCCTTGTGTTAATGAAATTTAATCTGTTAAACCGGTAGTAAAAAGCTCTCACATTAAAGAGTGGGATGATATATCTTTGTAAGCACCAGCGGATCCAGCTGGGGGACAGCCCTCCCCCCCCCCCCCGGAAGGTTGGGAAAAAATCCAAAAAATACCTATTTAAAAGAAAGAGAAATATAAGAAAAATTCATCCTCATAGACGAACTTTCTAATGTAACATAAAAAAAAATTATTATTGTGACCAGCACTAGTGATTTCTGACATGGGGTACGCCCCTCCCTCTGAATAGTGAAAAATAATTTCGAAAAAAGTTTCAAAAAACAGATATTTAAAGAAAAGAGAAATATATGATCCTCTAAGACGAATTTTCTTGTCATATAAAAAAAAATTACTATCGTGACCAGTACTAGCGGATCCAGCCTAGGGCGTGCCTCTCTCTTCCTTGGATGGTAGAAAATAAAAGTTCGAAAAAACAGCTGTTTAATGGAAAGAGAAATATAGAGAAAATTCATCCACATAGACGAATTTTCTAATGGAATATTAAAAAAGTTTGTATTATAAAGATATTATAAAGACCTCTTTGAGAGCGAAAATCTCTGCAGGCGTGCGGATTACGAGCAGTGTGCCCCGATGCCAAATTTAGTGTCCATTGATGTAGAAACCGTCAAGAAAGCCATTAAATCAACATCAATGGACACATCGCCGGGGCCTGATGGAGTTCTGATCCGCACGATTAAATATTTTGATGTTGCAAATATTATTAGAACAATTGCGGAGATAATGCTGAAGGTGGCCTATGTCCCAGAACCACTTCGACAAGGGCGCACAATACTAATATATAAGGGGAAAGGTGATGTAAACAAAATCCCTTCCTGGAGACCCATCACCATTTATTCTATTGTGCGCCGAATCATAGAGAAGGTTCTGGACCACGAATTAAGAAAACAGGTCACCTTCCACAGGAATCAGAGAGGCTTTATAAAAGGCCTCCCGGGAACGCACGTCAACGCAAGGATTATCGACGCTGTATTGAAAGATGCAAAGATTATGAAAAAAGATTGTGCGGTGGTATTCCTTGACGTTGTCGGTGCTTTTGACAATGTTGGCCACAATCATATCGTGAGCTCCTTGGAAGCAAGAGGTGTGTCGCCGGATCTTCAACACGTTATATCGGCTCTCCTCTGCACGAACACAATCAAAATTAGTAACGGTGTTCACGCAACTATCCAAATCAAAGTGCTGCGCGGGGTACCCCAAGGCGGCCCCTTGTCGTCGTCGCTCTTCAACCTGGTCATTGACCATCTCTATCGCGACCTGTGTGATGAAGAATTTTCCAAAAAATTTGGATACAAGTTAAAAAGTGACCAAGGTTGTGTGGTCCTCACAGGTTTCGCGGATGACCAGGCCGTGTCAGCGCGTGACAAGGGGGCTGCAGAAAGAGTGATCGGCAGCGTTCAGAGGACATTTGAGGGAATTGGTTTGGCTATTAATCCTCAAAAAAGCGTGGGCATCGTTCTAAATAAAGGAGAGCTGGAAACCGCGATGCTCTCCCTTGAGAACGGAGAGTACATCCAAACAATGCAGAATGGAGATACAATCAAGTATTTAGGATGTAAATTCTCGGGAGAGCTACAGTTCAACGAAGATTCGGTGACCAAATTGAACGAAAACCTGGATAAACTGGTAACCTCTCCCTTGCTGAAGCCGGAGCAGAAGCTAAACATTGTCAACTAATATCTGTTCCCGGGTCTTACTTACCCTCTCCAAACTGCGCCCCTCACAAAGCTGCGTCCTGCCGTACTTGACGGCATCGACACCATGATTCGCAGGAGTGTGAAGGTTATTGTTGGACTCCCTGCGAACACCTCCACGGCGATGTTATACTCTCCCAGGAGGTATCGAGGATTAGGATTAATCCGCTGCCAATGGGAGGCTCCTCTACAACATTGGTCCATTGCTCAGCGACTGTCCAATGTGCCCGATGCCCTTTTTCAGTCGATCTTTGATTATTCGGCTGAGGTTGATGAATGTGCCGAGAGATTGGGGGTTGATCGGGGTATTCGGAATATGAGAGCTCTACGGCAGTCGCTTCGAGAAAATTCGTTTGAGGAATGGACCAATTGCAGGTGGCAGGGCATTGGAGTTCGCCATTTTAAAGAGACCCCGAAAGCCAATAAATACATGTATGATAAGCAAGTACTTTCTGGGTCTGAATGGTCAAATGCCCTGAAACTAAATATTAATTATGCTCCCCTGCGTGGAGTCCCAGGTGTCAGCGGACAGGTAAGAGAAGTTGGGTCCCTCTGTCGCAAATGCGACAGAGAGCCAGAAACACCAGCACGTGTGCTTGGAAAATGCCCCAACAACTCCCTCCTTATAACAAGCCGTCACCACAGAGTCAAGCATGAACTGATGAGGCTCCTTGAAGAGAGAGAATACGCCTGTTTCGAGGAAGTATATTGTATAGATACGGATGGATCCACCCGATATGCCGACATTGTAGCATTCCCTAAGACGGGAAAGTCGGCGATGATTTTGGATCCGACCGTGAGATATGAGACCAACGACCTCGATCAGGCAGAAAAAGTGGAAAGGGAGAAAAAACAGATATATGAGAAATGCATCCCTTTCCTTAGTGAAAAGTTCCGCGGGAGTTTCGGGCCGAGAGACTTCCACGTGAGAGGCCTTTGGTTCGGAGCTCGCGGAACGATACCAGACTCAACAAGGAGCTTCATGGAGGGCCTTGGTGTCGACATAAAGGACGTGGCAAGGTTGGCAGAGAGTATAATCCTCGACTCCCTGGGAATCATCCACCACCATGTGCATGGGAGCGGATAGGGGGAGAGTTTGCTCGCGAGGGGGAGGCATGCGTGTGTTACAACATTTTTTATATTATTATTTATTGAACACGTCCACTGTACTTTATGAATTTTTTATGTATTAGGTTAGAAAGAGAGAGGAGAGAATGTGAGTGGGAACATGTATAGGGGGAGAGAAGGAAGAGAAAGGGTACAGAATGATAATAAATGAATGAAAGAAATAGTAAAAATTATAAAAAAAAAAAAAAAAAAAAGGAAAAAAAAAAAAATAATATATATATATATACGTATAAAATATTGTATACTATGCTCATACATATTGTTAATCCTATAATTGTATAATAATTTTAAATAATGTCTGTAGTGATTAATAAGTATGCTGTGTTGTTAGCAACCCAATGTAATTGGGCAGCACCATTTTATTTTATTTTATGATAATAAAGTGATTCTCTCTCTCTCTAGCGAATTCTGCCTGGGGGTGCCCCCCCTCTCTCTCTCTCTAGGTGGTGGATAAAAAATACCGTAAAAGTTCCAAAACACAGATATTTACAGAAAAGAGAAATATAGGGAGAATTTATCTTCAATAAAGAATTTTCTAATGTGATATTAAAAAAAAAAATATTATCATGACCATTTTTATTAATCTTACGGTTTGTCACGTCACCTCACCAGGCTGTGGATCAACTTGCGCTCGGCCTTTGGAGCACGACGAGATTTTGTGAAACAAAGAATAGAATGTCAGAGTAAATGTTGGCTCGCAGGATGATGTGATGCAGTTTTGGAGCCGCCGCATAGTGGTGCAAAACGCCTTATTTTCGGAAAAAAACTTTGCTCACCTTAGACATACTACTATATAGCTCAAATAGAGGTCATTTTATAAGTATTATGATTTAAATTTAAAAAAAAAAATCGAATAAAATCAGGTATTTGTGAACGACGTGGTCTCTCTGGACTGCTATATGCCAATGTTTATAACCTGAACACTGATAATTGTGATAAGACACTGATAATCCCTATCTTCAAATGAAAATCAATGTAATAATAACAAAAAACTTTTATTTTACAACATATAAAACTTCATTTTCGTCGAACTTCCAACATCAACCACAACAACAACCACGTCCTTTTTCATATAGATACGTTTTTCTTAGAACTCATACAAAAGCATCTCCATTTCGTCTTACTGTAGAACTTCATTTCATGACCTTCATCACAATATTTCACCTTTGCAATTATCCCGGGATCTTGAAAATATTTGATACGTAATATGTATACATAATAATAATAATATTGTAATTTAATAATAAGAAATATAAATAAGAGGAGAACTCTCCATCATCATTTTTTCCTTTAGAAAAAAGACTCTGATCTACTTCAACCACTTTGCCATCCCCAATTTTTTTAGTTGACCTGTATAACATGTTATGGTCATAAACCTCTCTTAAAAATTTGTTCCACATCATGATACAACTGTTCGATAGTTTCAGCTGCTGTTTGCCCCACTGTATTGTTCTCAAATTATGAGACAGCCCATAAATCAATTTTAAAGCAGTTGAAAAGGTAATCTTCGACCCCTCTAACCACGTCCTTTTCCTTATAGATACTTTTTTATTACAATTCTTACGCAAGCATCTCCATTTCGTTTTCCCGTCGAAATTCATTTCATGACCTTCATCACAATAGTTCACCTTTGCAATTATCCCGGCATCTTGAAAATATTTTATAGCCTCTTCTTCTAAAAATCACAATTCCGACAATGAAACAACATCCATTTCAATAACGCACACGCAACAGCTTCTACTAGATAAAAAGGCAGGTTATGAGACGTAACATAAGATAAGAAGGTGACGTAAGATAAGATAAGGAGGGAGGTTTACCAGAGACCACGTCATTCACAAGTACCTAAAATCAAATTTAATAATTCAAGTTAACATTATTGAGCGAAAATATTGATGATTAGAAAGATGTAAACAAATTTTGGCTTGATAAATGTTTAAATATATAGTTTTATAATATTAAAACTTAAACTCATGAAGATTCTTGGCGTCCTCAAGACGTGTCCATCAGGCGTCTCTATCCTGCGCAGCGGCTTTCCAGTTACGTACACCAAGTAGTGCACGCGTATCCCTTGCCACAAAATCCTGTCATCGCAGCTGTGGTCTTCCTACTCTTCTAGAGCCTTGCTCATTGCTCTCCATGGTTTTATTTTGGGATTTCATCATTTCGCATCCTCGCCACTTGCCCGGCCCATCACAGTCTTGCAAGCTTTATGGTTCTTATCCGACGTCTTGAACAGATTGTAGAGCTCTGTGTTTTGTCTAATCCTCCAATTCTGTTCATCGCGCACTAGTCCATATATTCTGCGGAGCACCTTCCGCTCAAATGACGCTTGGGCTCGCTCGTCTGCTGGCGTCATGGTCCACGCTTCGGAGTCATACATCAGTACCGGACGAATGGACGTTTTATAAAACTGCGTCTTTGTGCTGCGAGAGATGAGTTTACTTTTGAAATGCATATTTAGGCAAAAATAGCACTTGATTGCCGCTACTATTCTTTTCTTGATCTCTAGGTTTCTATTATTTTCTCTACTTGCCAGAGATCTCAGATATGTAAACTCATTAACTCTCTGGAATTTATAGTGTGCGGTTTCAATGTGCTTTTCTTAAGCGGTAGCACTACCTCCAATACAAATATACTTGGTTTTTGCTTCGTTAACGACCAGTCATAACCCTCTAGCCGCTGCTTCTAGTGGGACAAACGCTTATTTCATAGCATTCATCGATCTAGCCATTATGCAGATGTCATCGCCATATACAAGTAGCTGCACGGTCTTATTCAATAGCTTGCCAGTAGTCTGGCTGCTAGGCTCCCTCACAGCTTTTTACTGTAGCTGTCATGAACCTCTGTGATAAGTCTCCCTGTATTCGGACGACACACTCTACGCCCATCATGTTCATTCTAACGAGGCGGACCAGTTTTGGAGGTATGTTCATTTCAATCATAGCCCTATATAACTACTCACTGTCGATGCTATCATAACTATCTTTAAAATCTATAAAGAGATAATGGGTTTTAACATTATATTCCATAGTTTTCTCCAGCAGCATTCTAAGAGTGAATATTTGATCATTTGTCAATTATCCTCTTCTGAATCCACACTGGTATTTGCCGATCTCTCGCTCTGCAAACGGCAAAAGCCTCTGGATGGGGTTCAGTAATATTTAGGGTAAGTTCTGTTTCTTAGTCAACCGTTGAACAAGGAGATGATTTGACTGAGATCACGCTCAACCGCCAGGTTTTTTCCCTTAGATAATTATTTAATTAAGGGTACCCACTTTATAGAGACTGGGTATGCCCCAGGAGGATCTCGTAATCCCAGGGTCGCTGATGAAACAGAATAAATAATGTTTCTGCCTTGAGCCGGAATTCGAACCCAGGACCTTGAGCATTGGATGATCAGTGTCCTACCACTGAGCTACCCTACTCCCTGGTGACCCATATTAGCAACGATTTTTTAAGTATGTCACTTTTTTTTTTGTATAGAAATTGATAACTATATATAGTCATTTAATTTAAGTAATTAACGATTGCTTCACTTCACTAGACAAAATTTACTATTAAATCAAATAGTTTGCTATTGTTAAAACCATTTAAAGAAGACTTTTGAGCAGCTAAACTCAACTCCGCCCATGAGTGGAGGGATGATGGGTAGTGATGGGTGAACGGGTGTGTGGTGGGGAAAACACTTGGTGCAGAGGTGTGCCCCCTCCCCGAGAAAATTCCTGTATCCACCTCTATTTGTAGGAGTAAATACCGTTAATTGTTAAGGTCATACTGAAATAAAAATTTTTACTAAAACTGGAGATAGTAATGAAGAGGGTACAATCATAATAATGGGTCACGAGGCGATTTATGATGGCAAAGTTGACCGACATTTAACGTCGAAATACTAGCGGATCCAGGTTTTCATTTTTTGGGGGGGGGGTTCAGCCCGAAAGCTTTTTTTTCATACATATAACGATAAATACTCAAAAAAAAAAAAAAAAAGAAAGATACTATCTACATATATGAAATGATGTTTATGTGATTTTTAAGTCCTATTAAATGTAATTACACGAACAATAATACTTTAAGAGATAATTTTTTAAAATATTTTTTACCATAAAACATGGTTACATTTTACCATTTTGGGGGGCTCCCGCCCGAAAGCCACCCCCTCCCCCCCTCGTAGATCCGCCTGTGCATCGAAATGACGATTTGTGGTTATAATGTCCTTGTTGAAACGGTTGAGAGAGAAGCTCTAGGATTTATTAGAATCCCACTTTTTGCAATAAGCGTAAAAAGCTCTGTATTTAAGGTATTATTTTGATTAATTTCGCTACAAGTGCCTTTTTATATATTGTCATTTTGCTGTATGCATATAGTTATAACCTTTTAAGGGTACATTATAGTACAAGTAAGCCCTTAAATCGCCATCAAGTTGTATCATGTGAGGGTCACCGGTATCATGCATTATACAGATCCACGTCCATCCACGACTTGTATGTATGTATACACATCATAAATGGCCTTGGCGTTATGGCTATCCGCAGCAATATCTAATATAGATATCACCAAAGGAAGTAGACTATGCATCTTAACCGCGTTAAGAAAAGCAAAACTCCACTTAACAACAACATGAATGAAGAAATAACAAGGTTATTATGAAAAAATTCATAAGAATAATTATAACTAATTATCACGGCGCTACAACTGGGTGAAGAGTCTTGGCCTCCTCCACCAGCTTCCTCCAGTCATCTCCGTTCTGTGCGGCCATCATCCAGCTCCTGACTCCCAGGAAAACTTTTGCATCTCTTGCCACAACATCTGGCCATCTTAATTTTTGTCTCTCTCTTCTTGTTGTGCCGTTATACATCTACTCTGTCGCGTCCTCTAGCCTTGAGGATCAAGACGATAAATCAATTCTGGCCTTTCAGGTCATGGATTGACTACTGAAGAGGGTTTGAAAGTTAATACCATACTCTTAATACCATAGTTTTAGGTGAGGTATGTAGCTAATCTAATCTACCACTGCCAAAATCAAATATGTTGTAAATGCTCTATTTTATTGTTATTAATAATGTTCTCAATTGGGAAAGTATATAATATAACCAAAAGAGTACCTATCTACTCTTCCTTTCCTTTTTTTAAAAATATTTCTTCACTTAGTCTAGGTTTCTAGGACTAAAATAGTTTCAATTGATTCAAAACTTCAAATTTATTTGATTTCACATTCGACTTCCACGTGAAATTAATTGGTGAAACTAAAATGGGTTAAGTGAACTACACATAGTTGGATTGGCCCAGGACATGTCATTGACGACATAGATATGGAAAGTGGTTTTTTAATGGAAGTATTGGATGTTAAATCGTTTTGTACCATCCGTAGTGCCTTATCTCATCGTAGAGCCGAGATAGTGAGAATATTAGATTTTTCAGTGTAGATTTTAAATACTTCTTTTGAATCAATGAAATCGATCCAGGAACCCCTAATATGTTCCAAAGAATACCTTTGATTTTTTCCAGGATTTTTAACTCAAAATTGCGCAACTAGATTTTTTCCCCGAAAAAGTGGTGTTTTTCTCTGCTGTGCGAAGTCCCATTCTAATAATTAGGTGTTTTTCTACATGACGAAGACTCGTAATTTAAACTCTTATTTCATTCCTTGTATTAGGTACACTCTATTGTTAAGGATAACATTAATGTTTCAAAGGACCATTTAATCTCTTTGTAATCCAATAACCGCGAAGGTTACCTTTTTTTTTGTTTGTTCATGTTGCTAGCACATCATTGTTAGAATTTGATTGTTTTCCTTCTCTATGTGTTTGATATAACTTTTTTTCAGATTAATAAAGTTAGTTATGTAAGCAGAAAATATTATTGAGGTTATTTTTAAACACCCTCCAGTATTGCTTCTGTTGTGCCGTAACGAAAATTTATATGTCTTTATACCAAGTATGTTTTTTTTGTAGTTTGAAGTTTCACACTTGTTAAATAATTAATGTAGAATCGAAATTTTTTATTAATTATAAATTGCCACAAAGCTATTTATTTTTTTTACATGTAGTACTTGTAACTTATATTAATACATTGATATTAGAACATCAGTGTATTAATATAAGGACGTTCTTTTTTTATTTCTGATTTGTTTTTTAATAATATCATTTTTCTTGCAATCAGTTTCAATCAATTAAGTTAATAAACACAATTATATTAACTAATGAACAGAAACTAAATTAACAAATTTGATTAAAATGATATAGAGAGTGTGCCACGAAGAAATTTCAATAATTAAGGAGGGAGATGATCAACCTTAATTGTAGTTCAAAATCACCAACCTTATATTCACATCTCAATCTGTTGTTGAGATATGGCATTTTGTAGGTTTTTCTTGTATATCCTAAGATGCGAGAAAGCGGTGGAAAAAAAAATAATAATAATAAATAATAGATTTTCCAAGAATACAATATTTTTTCCTATTTATATCCATTTTTTTCTGATAGAACTAAATATTTCTCAATCTTAGTTACTATTGTTGGAATGATTAATTTCCTGTATGATAATTATCTATTTGTAGGAAATTTTCACTTCCTCAGGCTTTCATAGTAGCCAAAGGTAAAAAAAAATAAATAATTTTGAGATTGAATACTCGATGGTTGACAGTTGTGTATTATTGAGGAAGGAGATGGTCTGGGGTAACTGTCATATAAAGACTAAAATAGTGAAAAAACTATTTTAGTCTTTTTGTGGCTGCCACCCTGGACCATCTTATTCTGCAATAATTTTTAAATAAACTCTTTTGGATCTCATAGAGCCAATTATCAAGATCCTTCAGCTGAGCTAGTCTTGTTTGAGGCGAGAATATATTATGTAGCTTCAGTTTCCTAGCAATGTATAGTTACATAGCTGCAGTTTATGGTCAAATTCACAGACGCATCAAATACTAGATTCCCAAGCAAAAAAACCATTAGAAAGTTGGTAAATTGAGACATTTTTTGAAATTCCCAAGGTCATAGCTCAAAAATTCATGATGTAAATTCTGAGTATTTTTCAAGATTGTTGTCTATTTATTTTGGTTTGGCTGCTATGACAGCCTAATGAAGCATATTTTACTACAAATTGGTTGCTCTCTTAAAGAAAATTCATTATAGATTCTAAAAATGGTAACGGTAGTTATAGTTTAGAAATTCCTTGTTATACCAGTCAAAAGATTAGGTTTATAGAGAAAAACGAGGTTTTCTTGGAAAACCCTATCCTTGTCTCTCGACAACATATTGGTGGATTATGAATGTATGGTTGGCGGCCCTGAGCTACATTTTTGGTAGACTACCTGCCCCTTTATTGTTGATATTTTCTCTTGATAGAGTGTGTATATGTAATATATAAAAATCAAGAACAATGTTCTCATTTCATCTTGTAGTATATTTCAGTTTTGTTTCTGGGTATATTTTTTCATGCATCCATATTTTATGTACGATCAGGCTGTCTGAAATAGGAGTATGGAAAATTTGTATTAGTTAGCTAGTGTAATATTTTATTATCGGGAGGTGTAGTCTGACAACATAATAGAAAGTGAAGTATATTGATTGGAGTTGTTTACATACTATATTCTCCAGGATTCTAGTTATCAAGGGTTTTTTGAAGTTTATAGACTATATATTTAATAGAATTATTGATTTCTGCATAATCTTTATTAGGTTTAAGGATTGTACTGGCTTTACCTGTTTTCTAGGATGATAGTGTATCATGATTAATAATGGAAATTAACTTTGTAAACTTTTTTCTGGAATTTAATGTTTTTTTTATTGAGGTTTTTAATAATAATGTTGGATATAGTAACGTGGCAGTTAGCGTTTTTGGTTTGTTGTAATTTATTTATTTTACTGTTTTATTTATCAATATTTATGGAAAGTTAAGTGGTTATTTTTTCTAATAAAATAACTTTATGGGAATTATTAACTTCATGTTTTTGGTAGTTTGAGCTTAGATCTGAGGAAATTGAACACACCGAATTGAGTAATTTTTCTTGAGCTTGGGTTTTATTATTTCCTTTCATCCCGAAGTTCAGGGCTAAAAAAAGACCAGATATGAGAAGCTATTAATGTATGAAACATAATAGAAATATAAGAAACAACTGAATTAAAAAGAAGTTGATTGGGGTGTTCAGTAAAAAAACACAAATTAAAAATAAATAACTGATATTTATATTTGCCGACGTTTAATAATAATAATAATGTAACAAACATATGAAAAAATTAATTACAGTAGTAATTTGTAAAACAAAGAAAAGGAATATGAAGTTATATAAAGGTGTTGTAGATGTTACAGAGGGTACTATGTAAGTTCCACTGTTTTCTGTCCCAATAATCTTGTCTTGAGGGTACATCTCATGAGTCCAGATTGGTCCTCTTCATTTATCTCAGTATTCTCATTTACCTTTTTTTCTTTACTTTCATTTCCACATTCCTGTGTCTATTTTGTGTATATTGATACATTTACTCATTACATCTTATTTTAATAATTTATATAATTTTAACTTTTTATTTCTCTTCTGTGTAGTCAATATGTTTTGACAGATTTTACATTATCCTAATTGTTCTATTTAAATTATTATTTTCTTTGTATAATTTCATATACCTTTTCTCTGTTTTACAAATTCTTACTGTTATTAATGTTTTCATATGTTTGTTACATTATTGTTATTATTAATATTATTTTTATTTATTTATTTTATTTTATTTTTTTCATAAATTAATAGTTTCTCATTTTGTTATCTGGTCTTTTCTTAGACCTGATGAAGGGCCGAAATGTCAGCAAATATAAAAATAAATATAATGAAGAGAAGAATAGTTGAGGTGGTCAGTCAAAAAAGAAAGCAAAAATAAATGATAATATTTATTTTTACATATGCCGACGTTTCGACCTGAAGTTCAGGCCATCATCAGGGCTAAGATAAGAACTAGATAACAAGGTATGAGAAATATAAAAATTACAGTAAAATGAAGTTGTTAGAATAATGACAATAGTAAGAACAAGAGACAAATAATAATAACAGGTACAAAGTGTGGAATGATGAAGTTAACATAGTCAAAAAAGGTAACATAAGTATTGTAAAGGGAATCTTAGAATAAAATGTAAAACAGAAAAATATGAAGTTATATAAGAAATGGTAATAAATAGTAAAATTAAGATATAGTGAATAGAATATTTAGATAGAAAATTGAGATGTTGTAAAGTCTATCAATATGTACAGACAAAGTATGAAATAATAAAGAGTTAAAACAGAGAAAAGGAATGAAAGGAAGGAGGAGAGAAACTGAGAAGGTTGAAATAAGAAAGAGAATAAGTAAGAGAAATGATAACAACCTGACTGCTCTAAGGTAAAGATGCAATGCTCGTGTTATTGAAGGATGGAGGATGATAGAAGGGATGTATAGTGGCGTCATCTCCAACGGTTATCTGACGAAGTTTGAACTAACGTATCGGAAGCGTAAATAAGAACGAGAGATATATTATTCATAAATATTAAGGAATAAAACGAAAGTTGATAGAAAGAGGCAATAAAATAGTTTGAAATAAAGTAAATTTATAATAAATAAATTATAAATAAATAATTTATAAATTATAACTAAATTTGTAATACATTTAAATAGTTGATAGAAATTCTGGAGAGGCAATAAAACGAAGAAAATAACTGTTAAGTAATAATGGAGAATAATTGAAATTAATACAGATCATATAAATATATACATATATATATATATATATATATATATATATATATATATATATATATATATATATATATATATATATATATATATATCTTTACAACTTTTCCTTCATCGACCTTTGAGTATTAAATTCAAACTTCACTATTTTATTGGGAATAAGGTCACTTAATTATTATTTAATAAACTAATTAATGTTCATTTCTTCTGTTTATTGACGTTTCGATCCCGGTATTTTCTTTTTATTAGTCAACCATGGGATCCTCTTCAAAGCTAGAATTTAAAAAATATAGAGCTTCGATCAGGCCAGGGACACACCGACAGCCTCAGCACCGTCCACTAGCACATATATTAAGCTACTCTGTGTAGCTTAATATATGTGCTAGTGGACGGTGCTGAGGCTGTCGGTGTGTCCCTGGCCTGATCGAAGCTCTATATTTTTTAAATTCTAGCTTTGAAGAGGATCCCATGGTTGACTAATAAAAAGAAAATACCGGGATCGAAACGTCAATGAACAGAAGAAATGAACATTAATTAGTTTATTGAATCATAATTAAATGACCTTATTCCCAATAAAAATAGTGAAGTTTGAATATATATATATATATATATATATATATATATAGATAGATAGATAGATAGATAGATAAAGTTGTCAGCGAAAAGGAAAGGATTACTATGGATGTTTTAGTAAATTCAGAATTTGGGAATAGGCTAAAGATAAGTTCTGTTTGTCTGTTTCTTTGAGTTCTTTTGTCCATTTCTTTAAACAGTTAGCCGACCTTTCGACTCAAACATGTGGGTCATCCTCAGGGCTATGGTTTGGAAGTCAAGACAAGAACCCACATGTTTAGGTTCAAATGTCGGCTAACTGATTAAAGAAATTTTGACTGAAATTTCTGACAATTTTATCCTTAAATTTTTGATAATTGTTTGCAATTTTTTACTTGAAAATGAAGTACCAACTGTATATATTTTTTTAAGTAATGTTTTATTTATTTTTTTGTTTTTTAGAATTAATAATGCATTCTTGACACAATGGGTCAGACCCTTAGTGAACCTATTACAACAAAAGAGACTTTTTTAGCTCTAACTGACAACTACGTAGTTGGTTCAAGTTGTATGCAAGGATGGAGGGTCTCAATGGAAGATGCTCACTCGGTTATTTTATCAATACCAGAAGATCGGTCTGCAGCTTATTTTGGAGTATTTGATGGTCATGGAGGTATTGCACTTGTTGTTTAATAAAATTGTATACAATTATGAAAGTATAAGTTTAGATAAGTGTTATTATATGTATATGTGTTTTTCATGAACTGAAAATGTAAGTTTCCGTTTAATTATTTTATACAAATTTAATAAAGTACTAGGTAAATAGGAACTTGATAATTATTACAGATATTGCTTATAAATTATTGATAATTGATATTGAATTTTTTACTAATTGAGGAATAACTAATTATGAAAACTTTTAAAGAGGTGTAGTGATTATATTAATGTTCTTGAGACAAATAAATACTGTAATCTTGTTTTTCCAAATTGTTTTAGCAGTTTACTATTGTACATACATATAATATATATTTTTCTTCCAAACAACTATTGAAATTTGTGTATGTATTAGTGTTGTATGTATCTATAATATTTGTATTAATTATTGTATAATTAATTACAGGTTCTAGTATTTCAAATTATGCTAGCAGACATCTTCATAAATATATTGTTTCCAACCCTGCTTATAGTCAAGGAGATATTAAAGGATCTGTTGAAGAAGTATGGACTGATAATTTAATTTATCTTATGTATAAGTACTCTTATCTTTGTTATATTTTTCTAACATGAAACAGTTTGACTTCAAAGTCCAATTGATTCCTCAATCGTGATTCCTTTTACCTATTTTTTCTTTTTCCTTTTTTTTAGATAAGATCTTTATATAAATTGAAAGCTTATTAATTTTACAGACACCATTCTGATTTTTCCCTGAGCTGTTTTGCTTTCCCATTTAGAAAACATGTGAAAGTATTTTTCAATTACGGAAAAAATTGGTTTAATAAAAGAGTTCAATAAATTTATTTTAAATAAAAAGATTTTTATGTCTCGAAATTGAGTACTATGACATGACTTACCATTAAAGAGAAGAAAAAAATATTGAATAGAGGCTGTTTCTATGCATGATGAAAGCTATAGTCTTAAGATTAGATTCACTGATCACGAAAACATGAAATCATTGAAAAACATGGGTTCATCCAGTTTTGAACCATGAGCATTCCAACAATTTCCCCAATTTAATAAGAGTTGTAAGTAGCCCTCAGAGTAACTAATTCTTTGAGAGCTTATTTGTGACTATAAGCTCAATTGTGACAGAGAAGAGACGGGCTATATATACTTCAATACTCCTATATAATTACTATTAACAAATTAATTTGGGACAATATTGTGTTTTCTTTTTATTTATAAAATAAATAAATTCTAATGATTCATTATAGGGTTATCCCATGATTTACCAGTTATAGTATGTAACTGGTTATAGTTCTCTTTATCTGGGTGCCAGGAGAGTATTATAACATAGTTCTACTATAAATGTAATATTATTTCTTTTATGGTAATATTGAACACAAGACAATAATAAATTTCATACCTTTTTTTAATGTTACTACTCTTTACAGTATTGAATTTCTTATATTTTTTAAATTTTTTTTGCTCAATCATTATGTTTACATATGAATCTGTTGTAATATACTGGTAATGATATTTCATTGTCACAGTTAACCATTTAAGTAGACTCTGATATCCGTGAAAAAGTATTTAATATATTTGAATTTTTTAGGCATTTAATGAATTAGATACATTTATGCAAAATGATCAGCAATTAAGATCTGAACTTGCTGGCTCAACTGCCGTGATTGTTTTGTTACGGGATAATAAATTATATTGTGTAAGTATTATGCTTTATTTAATAGTATTATTAATTTCTATGTTCTATATTTATGTTGTTGAATTTCTGAATTGTTTTATTTTATACATAAGTTTTATTTTTTACTACTGATTTTTTTTTTTTAAAAAGAAGGTTTCTGTGCCATTTTCAAAACCAAAAACCAGTGGAATAATTTAATTTGTAATTTTGTTAACAAAAGTTAATGTTCCATTAAAATTTTGTTGTTATTCCTTTGCATTTGCTTAAGAAGTTCAAAATTTTGTATTAAGCATTATCCTGATTATCAGCTCTAAATAATTCTGTTATCCTTATTCTATAATACATCTCAAAGAAGAAAAAGGTAAAAACCCATGTTATGGAGGTATCCCTACTTTAACCCAGTCAGAGAAGTGAAATATATGAGGGTAGTAACTTTATAAGATATATTTATTAAAAGGATGTGTCACATAATTTTTTTCAAAACTTTGCTATCATAATTTTTTTATTGCCGAAGAGGTTTTTCAGCTCTTTCTGTGATTGGTTATTATTTTTCAATTTACTGCTTTTAGTTTGGTGATATTTTTTTTTTTTTTATTAGTCTGTCCATCTGGTTATAGATCATTTAAACTGATTGACTTACTTTTTGAGGTTATTGTATATCCAAGGTATTTAAATCAGCCTACCTTCCAAAATGTTCCATCCTTCCTGATTTGGTCAATTGGATGTAATAATCATTATTTTTTAAATCTAAATTTGTTAGTAAGCTAATTTGCTTTTTTTTTTTTTTTTTTTTTTTTTTTATCAAGGCTTGTTCAGAATTCTCTATTTCCCCTTGTCTACTATCAATTAGTGTTTTACTACTTACACACCACAGAATTTTACATTTCAATCTTATTGGGTTGTCAAATAAGTCCTATCTGTTTATTTTTGTGTTACTATGATACACTTATTATCTGATGAATTAATCCCTAGGGTGGGTTATTTATCCTGCTTGTAATATGTCAACAACTATATCTGTTAACTGTTGTTAAAACTAGCTTAGTGTTGTGTTTGCTACTGCACTGTGAATATGGAAGAAAATATCGTCCATTATCGGCATATTTTGTTTTATTATTTTAAAAAAGGTAGTGTGCTGCAGAAGCTCATAGAAAAATTTATATTGTTTATGGGGATTATGCAGAAAGGTGTTTGTTTTCCACTAAGACAACGCTAGGCCGTACACCTCATTGGTCAATCGCAATGAATTATTGAGCCTTGGCTGTGACCTTTTGCCCCACTCTCTCCATTTGCCAGACCTATCAGACACCATCTTGTTTTATTAACTTTTATTGAACTACATCGGATTTTCTATTATTATGTATAAGATTTTTATGCTCAAAATTTTCTATCCAGATTTCTTTCTTGCATTCCATTTCACTTTAATCAATAGTAAACATAAGAATAAAATCTAATAACAACCTTATCCGCATATTTTTAAAATTGGACTGGATTTTTAATAGACCTCAGACTCTATTCAAAGTGGAGTGCTAGTGACCAAATTTAGCAGTTATATATTTATATGATTGCATCATAAGGAAATAATAATTGGAAAATTCCAAAAATCAAATCTCTATAATACCAGTAAATAACTGACAAGTCAATGTTTTTACCAGTTCAGCAGGTCCGAAAGACATATGATTACTTAAATGCTGACCAAAGACAGTACCTCTCATATCAATAGCTTAACAAGACCCATAAACTAGAGCCAGTATATCACTATAAAACATCTTTAGATATAAACATTTATTTTTGGGATGCCATTGGTTAATTATTTATCCAAAATGATTGATATTAAAAGATTAATTTTATGATATTGGTCCTAAAATATTATAACCGGATTTTATTTCCAGGGTTTCTTTATAATTAGCAATTCACTAATTACTAATTAGTAGTTCTTTATATATAGCCATTGTAATAGTAATATAATTGATCAATTTTTTTTTCATTGTAGTTAAACTACAAATAGATAATATATTTATTGGCTTAATTACAGCGTAGCCATAGGAATCTGCCCCAACAGGTGTTAGTTCAGGTTATTCATGTTACAAACTATATATATGTTCAACAAAATACAGAATAAAACATTATACAAACATAATAATAATAATTGTATAATTTTCAAACAATAGGTTAAAATTTAATATTAATATTTAAATATTTTTAATAGTAAACAATAGGTAACATAAATAGATTAATAAATAGACAAAATTCCCCTAAACTTATCCCGACCATAAACATAATGCTAAGGGATGTTATAATTAATATATTCAAAAACACACATGAGGAAATAAAATATATTATTTAACTGTTCAAGGTTCTTAATATCCAAGATAGTTTCCAACAACAATTCTTCTTCCTTATTATCAATTTAGACTTTGAGGTATTTTTTTCTGAAGGTTTCCAAATAAGAACATTCGAGTAGCAAGTGTTTTAAGCTATGATTAATAAATCTATCACACCATTTTCAAACCTCCTTTCTAATAATATGGTTGAAGTTTTTATGATGCAAATTCATGTAGTGATTATTGCAGACTCTTAATTGACTTACAGTCCTTATTTTTCGTATACGAACATTGAATTTTAGGTAATTTTCCGGTTCAGGTAATGAGTAACTGCAAATTTCTGCTATAAAGTGGATTATAATTGGAATTAAAATCACATTCAATATCTACAGAATGCAGTTTGTTGATACTCTTTCCAAAATAATGTTTATATTGATAATTAGTGTTAGTGGATCAGAAAATTTTTTCAAAAATTTCCCAACAAAATGAGAAACGGCTAATTTTTCAACTTGTGAGACCCAATGAAAATCAAGGTTTGGCTTTCCAGTATCAAAAGCCATCAGTCTGCAGACACTTCCGAGGCAACCGATGTTCTGGTAGTAACTGTTATTTTTATTAAAAAATTTATGATTTTTTAAAAAAAAATTACTATCCAAATTGGTGAGTGACCAGTTTCTAGTCTTACCATGTAATTTGGAGTCGATCTTGGCCTTTGATATTAGTGCTTGAGAAATTTCCCCTGTGCAATCTCAATAGTTTCCAAGTATACTATTGCATCGAAAAGAGACATTTTCGTTTCTCAAGCATCATTCTTGCCTCTTATTAAAATTTCTCTTACCTCTGCTCCTGCAACATTCGATCTCTGAGTAAAGTGATCAGCAGCCTTTTCCTGATGTTGAAAATGGCACACCTAGGTAATTATAACATTTTATAAATTCCAGGGGTTTATTTTGCTGTAGTAGTGGCTTCAATTTTTTCATTCTTAGTGACTTCTGGCATATTAGGACCTTTAATTTTTCAGGATTTAGAAACAATGAATTTTGTGTGCAGTACTCTTCTAATATCTGAAGTTTTTTGCGGATGCTGTGCCATGAGTTACTTAACATAAGTTGTATACCAGCAGTAGCATTATAGCTTCATTTTCACTGTCTATTGGTATACCTGATGCAACATTGGCTCCAAAATAAGATATTATGTCTGACACAAATTTAATTGGGAGCCGAAAAGAATTGGGCTCAAAGTTTTAACTTGTAATAATCCTGAACTAATCTCAATTTACTCTAACAATACATCTCTTGTTTTTATTTCTGTTGTTGCTATGTCATAAAGGGTGTTAAGTAACTCACAATTTTACCACTAATACCAAGTCAAATAGTTTTTTTCAAAGAAGCTCATGATTGATGGAATCAAACACCTTTCAGAAATCCAAAAATGTAGCATAAACATAACTTCCTTTAACTTTTAGATTTAGATTTATACTGATGAGTACCATCAGTGAAAAAATGTGTTCAACACAACCTCTTCTTTTTCAAAATCCTGCTTGTATTGTTTTCACTTTCAGTCCAGACCTGAATCCTATGAGCTATGACTCCTGTGATTAACTTTGTGATGTTATTTATCAGTTAAATTCCACGATAATTGTCTACCTCTTTTTTATGGCCTTTCTTATGCAGTAAATCTAAATTTTATTTTGACCAGGTGCTCGGGAGTTTCTCAGTTTCCATAATGTTGTTGAAAAGGTTTATCAAGTAGAGCTCCCATTCAGGGGTTAGATTTTTGAAAATCTCAAATAATTTTGTCACGACCTGGAGATTTATTGTTCCTACTTGCTTGAATTGATTGTCTGAGTTCTTTTATTGAAAATAATAAGTCTAAAAAGGGATGGGTTACAGAAAAGAAATATGTTTCCAAAATCAGTTTTTGTCCATTTTAAAGCCTTGTAATGTTCTTCCCACTTATCAATATCTATTTCATTGCATTTTATGTTAGTTTCCTTGAAAGAGTTCACTACTTTCCCAAACTAACTACTGTTTTTTATATTTTGCAATTTCTTTGTGATCATATTACAATAGTTTGATTTCTTAATTTTAACAGATTCCTTATAGTTATATTTAGTTATAAGATAATCTTCTAGTAAGTTTTGTGAGTAATAATTGATCAATTGAAGAAAATTAATATAATAAATGACAGTGACATAGGATGATGTTAAGGTAAATTTAATTTAATATATTATATGAATGGATCAATGTAAGGAAAATGGTTCAGATAAAACCATAACAACTCCACATAAGAACTGCTTGAAATATTTTATATTATTATACTAGAGATCTTAATTTATGTATAATTTCACATGACTTACAAGGGGAGGTTATAGACATTTTATCTCTGATCTCAATGAAACTTTTTTTTGGTGATACTATATCGAATAATATTTAAAATGTGTCGGTGAGTTATTGCTGATTCGCTCTAGGAGCAAAAACAAAATTATATAATTTTTAGCTTTTTAGCTGCTCTGGATTTCTTTGTTATTATATACCAATTAATTATTTTTTAGTGGTAGTAAAATAAGAGAAATATATTATCCATTGTATTAAATTTTTTTTTTAAAGCTGCCATTCCTTAAAGCATTCATCAATCCTCAAGATTTTCTCCAAATTCAATTTCATTACTACCATTAGAAATCTGAATTAATGCTCTTTC